GTTTGAGCGCGGCTCCTTCTTCCTGTTTGACCCCGCCAGCTGGGAGGTTGTGCGCAAGGACAACCTGACAGTCCAGTTTGAGCAGCTGGAGCGGGCGCCCAGCCTGACGACGCGCGCGCCGGGCGCCGCCGCGCCGCCACCCGCGGGCGCGCCGCCCGCACCCATCGGCGCCGCAAAGTGAGGCGGGCGCGACGGTTCGGTGCGGTAGGGACTGATGGAGTCCCTGCCCTGCCGCCCCGCCGCTGCGCCGCGGCCGTGCGCGTGGTCTGCGTGTGTGCACCCCGCCCCCACCCCCTCCCCGTTTTCCCCCACCCGCAATCACTGCCGTGTCTCGCTGCTGCTGTTTTGCTCCCTCTCTGCCCTCCCCCCCTTCCTCCTGCTTTGTTTTTCCTCCTGACTGCGCCGCCAGGGTGGCGGCCGCGGCGTGCCGCCGGCGCGCGCCCCCTGCGTTTGTGCGTGCGCCTGGCGGCCCTGCCTCCCTGACCAAACCGTCCCTCTATGTTTTGGTTGCCACACTGCTGCCATGTGTAAACCCCGTCAGCGAGGGGAAGGGAGGAGCCACGGGTGGGGCGGGGCGGCCGACTCCGTCGGACGGTGCCAGCTCAGCGCCGCCACCCAGGCGACCGGGCGAAAGTCGCGACGAGGCGGCCCGCGTGGGGCGATCACATCGGATGCAGCCCACAGCCGATCCAGCGTAGCGTGCCGGGTCTCGAAGGGCGGTCAAACCCCAGTGCCGTGCGGGAAACGCTCGCCACGCAGCCCTGCGCGAATTACTCGGCAGTGAATGGAGCGCGGCCGCAGCCTTTCATCATGATCACCAGCCGGCTATCGTCCATTCCCGAGCCGGCGGTGCTGGCGGAGGAGGAGGGGCAAGCGGCATGTGAGGATGGCGACAGCGGCGTGGCAGCTGAGCAGCGCAAGGGCGCCCCTGCAGGGGTGCAGGTGCAGGTCACAGCCGGCACGCTGGCTGGTGCCGCCGCCGAGCTCCAGGGGCTGGGATCCCTGGCGGCTGCCTGGCTGGAAAGCCCGCGGGAGGAGGAGGGCTTCTTCAAGCGGGCCGGCCGCCGCCTGCGCATCAGGTGCGTATGGAGTGTTTGTGTGGGTGCAGGAGTATGTAACATGCCCCTGCAGCATGCCGTCAAAGAGATGCACACACACACACCACATGCACGTGCGGCTGCCTGCACTTTGTGAGGTGCTACCCTGCGTGTGAGTGTGCCGCTTGCCCCAAGCGTCGCCTCCAGCCTGCTTTCCTGCCCTCCTGCCTCCAGCATCTATGGAAAGGACCAGCGAGAGAGCTATTATCGTGACAGCCTCATCGGGCCCGACCCCGCCATCGCAGCGGCGGTCAGGAGCGGGGGCACCCAGTCGTCCAACAGGGCGGGGGTGGGGCTGCGCCGCCGGGTGCTGCCCTACCACTGGCAGGAGGTGAGCGGGCACCCGGCCGCTCGAGGCACGGCCCACCACATGCCAGAGCTGCGCATCGGTCTGCAGCAAGCAGCGTGGGCGCGGGCATGGGGACAGGCGGTGCAGCGGCACGGCTGGCCCGCATGGCGGCTCATGCCCCTGCTTTCTTGCTGCTGCGCCGCCGCCGCCGCTGCCACCTGCAGCCCATCTGCGCTGTGTTCGACTCCCTCAGCTGGAACCTGGGCATCTCGCTGATCACGATCTTCGCCGTCTTCGCGCCAGACATAGTCATCATCTGCTCGGGTGGGCTGGGGGGCCTCCCAAGCGCCTGCGCGCCTGCATGGCGGCGTGTTGGAGCACCGCCGGCGGGGCCCGGGGCCCTGCCAGGGCCCTCCGAGGCGCTGCCGCCGCCGCTGCTGCCTGCGGCTGAGCCACCTGGGCATCCCGAGCACTGCCGTGCCCAGTGATGGTGCCCCCTGCCTTCCCCCCTGGCGGCCCCCTGGCCGTGAGTGCAGCGCCCGATGGCGTCAACGCCTGGATCAACAGCTTCCTGGTGGCTGCCATGGCGCTGTTTGGCGCAGAGACGCTGCTCACCTTCCTGTGCAGGCGAGGCGCCCGGCCGCTCCTGCCCTCGCTGGTTTGCAAGCACAGCTGACAGCCGGCGTGCCGGCACAGCCCTCCAACCGCTGGCTGCTGCCGCAGCTCTGCAGACCCGGCTGCCGCCGCCCGCCCGCTCTGAGCCACGCCACCGCCTTCTCCACCGCCGCCGCCGTCGCTGCCGCCTGACCCTCCTGACCCGCAGGCCCTCGCTCCACTGGCTGAAGATGATGCTCGACATTCTTTCCAACCTGTCCCTGCTCTTTGCCATCACCTGGTTCACAGAGGTGAACCCCCTTGGGCAGGGAGGGCCTGTGCCAGCACGCAGCATGCATGCCGCATGCATGTATGGGCGTCCGCTGGTGCAGCCGGGTGTCTCCAGCATCCCTGCTGCCGCGCCGCTGCTGGCAATCCTGCTGCTGCTGTTCCCTCCGGGTGCTGCTACCCGCTGCCTGGCTGAGCATGCCATGTGGCCAGTGGCCAGCACAGGCACCGAGCGGGGTGCTGGCTGTGGCTGCCGCAGGCGGTGGGGGCGCGCAGCGACGGCACCACCAGCAACGCGGCGCGGGCCTGCCGCATCGTGCGGCTGGTGCGAATTGTGAGCGTGCTGGAGATTGTGGGGTGGCGCTACAAGCAGGTGAAGGCGACAGGGGGCGTGGTGTGGTCTGGGGATGCAGGCGAGCGGCACTGGGGATCAGCCCATGCCCATGGGCGGGGCTATGTGCAGCACGCCAAGGGCTAGGCAGGCGGCCGGATCTTGGTGGCGGGCGTGGCAGAGGGGCACCGGCTGGAGCTATGCATGCCTGCCTGCCTTGCTCCCTCCCGTGCCGCCCTGCACTGCCGTACTGCAGAGCTACTGCCCTGCCATCTGCCGCCGTGCTGCAGCGCTACTTCCGAAACAACCCGGAGGCTGCCGCCGCGCTGGCAGACCAGCTGGCTCCCACCAACATTGGAAAGAAGATTGGAGGCAAGCGGGGCGGCGGGGTGGCGGGGTGGCGGGGTGGCGGGGCGGGTGGTGGCAGGGCCAGCCGCAGCTGCAGTCCACCTACACCGCTCTGCACCTCAACCATGCTTTCCGTGGAAGCAGCTGTCAGCCACCCACACGTCGTCGTGCCACCTGGCGCTCGCCGGCCCCTCTCGCCTGTGGTGCCCACCCACCTCCCCACCCACCACCACACACTCCAGGCCGCCACCACCACCACCACCACCACCACCACACCTCCATCTGCCCCCTGCAGAGATAGCGGCACTGCAGGTGGCGGCGGTGGTCATCTCTGCGGTGGTGTGCACCTCGCTCATCATTGGAGCCGACATCGACACCGGATCCAACGAGGGCCTGGACGCCTTTGCCGCCTCGCTGGCGGCCGGCGCCAGCGCCGGCGCCACCGCAGCCCAGGCGCGAGCGGGGATCAGGGGTGGTGGTGGTGGTGATGTGCGGAGGCGCGGTGCGGTGCTTGCGAGCAGCGGCTTGGGGCCGCTGTCACGCCGCCTGCCGCAGTGCTGCCAGGCTCTCCGAGGGTCCGCCACCACTGGTAGGGCCCTCCTCCATGCCACCTGAGGCCGTGGTGCATCTGCTCTGCTCCCTGCTGCCGCCACCCCCATGCTGATGTGGCGCAGCTGCAGCCAACGGTCGACGCCATGCTTGCCTTCTCAGCAGACCAGCTTCACAACAGGGTGAGCGGCCATTTTCCCACTTGTTGCATTTCCGGCTGCGCCTTTTGCCCTCTGGCGCTCAGCCTGGCAGCCCAGTGCAGGCATGCACCATGCACCATGCATGCCGCTGCTGGCGGGAGAGCTGGCCTGGCAGGGCCTTCATCCACCATCCCTGCTGCCTTGCCCTGCTGCCTCTGCCCCTGTCGCCCCCGCCGAGCATGTGGCCTTGTCCTGGTGCTGCTCCTACTATAACTACTTACCCTGCCACTGCCACTGCCGCTTCCTGTTGAGCAGCAAGTGCCCATGATTCTCGAGGTGGCAGGAGTGGGCTATTGGGACTGGGTGGAGCAGAATGGCGGCTGGACGGCACGCAGCACAGACAGGCGAGGGGGGTGCCTGGGGAGGGCGCCTGGTATTGCCTGCCCGACCACTGGCCTGCTCACTCTCCTCCTCCTCGCCTACGGCTTCACCTCCTCCCTCCCCTGCCTCTCCCTCCCTTCCCGTCCCACCACACCAGCGAACCCCAACAAAACCACGCCTTGCTCCTCCCATCCCGCCGCATCCCACCCCACCAGCTTACCCACACACACCACATTCTCGACCCCCCTGGGCTGCCCCCGCAGGGAGACGATTGTGCAGGGCAGCGTGACGCTGGATGTGGATGTGTCCAAGGCCAACCACCTGAGGGCGGGGCTCAACATGGCCCTGGCCGGTACCGTGGTACTGCTGCTCCTCGCATTCGTGGTCTTCATCAACTGGACGATCTGGAAGGTGCGGGGCAGGTGCTGGGCGGCCGGGGTGTGCAGAGTGGTGTGCCACGTAGGCTGGGGCTTGCTCGGCGGGATGTGGGGACGGGGTGCTGCTGCTGCGCTGCCCTGCACCAGCACATGCCGTGGCTGCCGGCCCGCACACCAGCCTCCCATCCCGCGCCGCCACCAACACCCGCCGCCACGCACCCCACCCATCTGCCGCACTGCAGATGCTGGTTCAGCCGCTGGATCGGATCTTCTACTCCATCCGCACCAACGCCGCCCAGGTGGTGGCGGCGCTGGGGAGCCCCGAGGCAAGTGCGGGCTGGAGCTGGGGCCGGGCAGCAAGGCAGACACCCGCTGCCATGCGCCGGCAGGCGTTCCTGCGGCGCTTGGCAGCGCTGGTTCACAGCGTGACGCAAACCCCCGGGGATGGGGACGGTGCAGGAGGGGCAGAGGGGTGGGGGTAAGCACCCATTCCTGCCTGCCCGGTGTGCCGTGCCGCCAAGCAGGAGGAGGCGGCGGCGGGGCACGGGCGGGGCAGCAAGAAGGACGATTTGGACATCATCACGATTGAGGCAGGCAAGACCTCTCCCGCTTTCTTTGTCCTTTCTTCCTTCTTTCTTCGTTTCTTTCTTTCTTTGTTTCTTCCACAGGCAGGGCCCAGCAGGCAGCTGGCAGCGGGGCTGGAGACGGGCGCTGCGAGGCGGGGAGGCGGGCGGGCACAGGCTGCCTGCCCCACTCGCTGCCCCTGCGCATGCTAGCAGGGCGGGCAGGATGCAGTGCCAGCCGCGCCCGCCGCAACTCAAACCTGCCTCTGCGCCGCCCTCCCCAATTCTTTCCACCTGCAGCCGTGACCAAGATGGGGCGTATCCTTGAGCAGTACACCAGTACCGGCGGTGTTGGGCTGAATGCGGTCAAGAAGATGGCAACGGTGGGTTGGTGGCAGGCAGCAGCCAGGCCAAGGAGGCTGCTGGGGGCGGCAGGAAGGGCACACCCATGCCTCACCCCAGCCGGCTGCCCATGGCTGCACTGCGCCCCTCGCTGGCGGCCGAAATGCTGACACCGGCCCGCCGCTGCCCTGCGCCCACCCGTGGCCTGCGCACAGAACGCCGACCAGTCCACAAAGGAGTGGCTGGCGACCATGGTGGCAGGGCCGGGATCGGAGGAGGTGGTCAGCGGGCGGCGCTCCTCTGACCCGGCCTCCGCCGCCGGCCGCGGCCGCGGCACGCGCCAGCCGCGCCTGTCGCCCGCGCCCTTTGGCCAGGGCAGCATCCCGCTGCGCGCGGCGTACGCGGGGAGGCCCGGCGGCGGCGGCGGCGGCGGCGGCGGAGGCGGAGGAGGGCCGCAGCGCCGCTCCCGCCTGGGCCGCATGTCTGAGATCCAGGTGTTGGGGCAGGGGCAGGGCCCGCTGGTGCAGACGATGAGTGACATGGGTGAGCGCGGCCCACAGGGCGGCTGCCCCTGCAGGGGCTGTCCTGAGTAAAAATCAAAAAGCCGTGGGCCAGCTGCGGCATGCCAGCTGCCCCGCTGCGCCGTGCAATGCCGCCAATGTGCCTGGCAGCCGCGCTTGCTGCCTGCCTGCCTCAAGGAGCTCATGTATAGGGCTGCCATGAGCCCCTTTACTTTCCTCCCTGCCCGCCCACATTCAGCTTTGCTGGACCGCGACCGCCTGCGGCGCAGCAGCCTGGCGCAGTTCCAGCAACGCACCAGCGGCGGGGAGGCCGCGGGCGGCGGCGAGCCCACGCCCTCCAGCACGCAGCAGCAGCAGCAGCAGCAGCAGCAGCAGCAGCAGCAGCAGCAGCAGAGCCAGGGCCGGGCTCAGGCACAGCCTGCGGGGGCGGCCAAGCAGTCCTCAGGCGTCCCAGCTGCGCCCAGTGCCGAGCCTTCGCGCAGCAGCCTAGAGGCGCCCCGCGGCAGCGGCGGGGGCCCGGCCTTGGGTCCCCTCATCGCCGCCTCCTCCTCCGCCTCCTCAGACGCCGCCGCGCTGGCCTCAGCTGCGGCGCGGGCGCAGTCGGTACCGGCCGCCCCCAGCGAGGCCTGGGCGCAGCTGGGGAGCAGCAGCCTGCCGGAAGCCGAGAAGAAGCTGCTGGCCAACGTGGACGTCGACTACCTGCACAGCTTTGGGTGAGGCGGTACCACGGCAGTACCATATGGAGAGCTCCCACATGCTGGTAGCTTCCAGCGAGCCGCGCGCCCACCAGCCGCGCGCCGCCCCCACGCAGCGCTGCCCCGCCCGCCAGAGCCGCCATGCCGCCCATGTGCCGCCAATGCACCCCGGTGCTGCGCCCGCTGGACCCGCAGGTTTGATTCCCTGGGTATCCCGCCCCAACTGCTGCCCGCCTACGTCTGTGCCATGTTCCTGGAACTGGATCTTGCTTTCTTCAGGTGAGAGGGGTGAGGCTGGCTGACTGCCAGATATGGCTGAAAATGCCAGGTGGCGCCGCGCTTTCTTCACCGCCTTTCTTGTGCCGCGGCTAAGAAAGGCCTTCTTTGAAGGCGCTGGAGCTAGTGTCTAAACCCTCCGAGAGGGCACAGGTTCGATTCCCTCCCATGTCGAAACTTTGTGAGGACAAACGCGGCATAGCTGACCGGCTCAGCGCCAATCCAAGCCAATTCCTTCGGGAACGCCTAATAGAATCGCCAAGGCTTCGGCACAGGCCTCCCCGGGACCCATTCACTACTAGTGGGGGGTACTGCACTTGGCGCGTCGGGCAGATCAAATAATGGTCTAAAGCTAGACGTTAAAACCGGGAAGTTAAGCTTGTGGAGGCTCTTCCCCACCTTTACCTTTACCTTTACCGCCTGCTCAACCACCGCCTGCTGCAAACAGCCCGGCAGTGGCGTGCAGCAGCCTCGACAGGGCAGCCTGGACGTCCGCACACACAACCCCCTGCCTGCGTTGCATCAGCTCTCCGCTCTCCGCCCCTCCCTGGCCGGCCCGGCAGCTCGATGGCGTTGCGCCTGCTTTCTCCCTGCCGCCGTGCAGCGGCGCCGACGCGGCGCTCATCGAGGAGCCAGCCCCCGCGGGGCGCAACGGCTTTGTGGATGTGGCCACCCTGTGGCGCTTTGTGACCGAGGTGCGCGCAGCTGCTGCCGGCGGCGAACCCGCCGCGCCCGCAGCCACCCCTCTGCCCGCTCCCAGTCCCCAGCACGCCGCCGCGCCGTGCCCCACCCACCGCCCTCCGTCAGCTGCGCTGCGGGCATGCCGCCTTGCTGGCCCCAGCTGGCGCGGGGCCCACGCCGCAGCTGCGCCGCTCGGCCCCGCCCCGTCACGCCCGCCTGGCTCCAGGTCAGCGCCATCTACCAGCGGGTGCCATACCACAACTTCCAGCATTGCGTGGACGTCACCCACACCACCTTCATGTTCATCAAGTGAGCCCGCTTTCCTCTGCCTCCCCGGCCTGTTCTGTTGTCGCTGGGACGGGTTGTCCCTGGTCTCTGCTTGCTGGACCGACGGGAGGGCTCGCAGGCCAGGCCCGGGCCCGAGCTGCAGCACCCGAAGCTGCAGCACCCGTCAAATCCCCTGCAGCAGCCGCTGGCAGTGCTGCAGCAGACTAGAGGCTGTGCCTGCCTGCCTGCCCGCCTGCCTGCCTGCCTGCCTGCCTGCCTGCCTGCCTGCCTGCCTGCATCCATCATGTGCATGCCTCCCTCGATCACCCCACCCTCCCACCTGCCCGCCTGCCTGGGTGCTGCGCAGGCGGGTGGCTCACAAGGTGGTGCTCACAGAGCTGGAGAAGTTTGCGCTCATGGTGGCCGCAGTGAGCCACGACCTGGACCACCCCGGTGGGTGGAAAGTGCGGGGCGGCGCTTACGACAGGAGGGGCCGGGTGCCCGCTCGGCTCCCATGCCTTCCGGTCTCGCCAGCCCCGTGCGGCGGCTGCCCCTTGCCTCCCGCCCGGCTTCCATGTTGGTAGCCTGCCTGGCGCTTTCCCCTAAAAAACCTAAAAACCCTAAACCCTAATTCCCGGCTGCCTCTGAATCCCTTCCAGCATCCCTCCCTCTCTCCCTGCAGGGGTGAACAATGCCTTCCTGGTGAATGCTCGGGACCCTCTGGCTACGACCTACAACGACAGCTCGGGTGGGGCTCAGGCAGGGCTGCGTTGCTCTGCCTGCCTCACCCACAACCCTTTGTGCTGTAATAGAAGGCGCAGCTTTCTATGCGCAGAAGAAGGCTTGCTTAAGCAACTGCTTGCTGCTCGGCCAGCGTGAAGCATGGCGTGCTGCGCTGCCCCTGACAGCAGCTCACCTGTACTGCTGTAGTGCTGGAGAACCGCCACGTGGCCGCTCTGTACAGCCTGCTTCTGTCCAAGCCCCAGCTCAACATCTTTGCGCGGCTGGACGTGGCGCAGTGGCGGGAGGTGGGGGCCGCTGGCGCCAGCGCTGCAGCAGAGAAGAGCACCGCTATGCAATGCACGCTGCGGGGCAGCAACTGCATGAGGCTTGACCCTACCAGCCATGCACACTCTCCACCCCTGCCCCCGCGCTCGCTGTCCCTGCTTTCCAAGCCCCGCAGCAGCCTCGCGCTCCTCCCGCGCCCTCTCCTGCGCCACCTGCCACCCGCCTATGGCCGCCGCCGCAGGTCCGCAAGATGGTCATCGGCGCCGTGCTTTCCACAGACATGGTGCACCACTTCCCCATGGTGTCCAAGCTGGAGGTGTTCTACGAGCTGCACGCCGCCAACATCCAGGCCCACCACAGGGCCCTGCGCCAGGGCCTGCCGCGGTGCGCTGGCAATGCATTTGCTGCTCCTCCCGCAACCGCAGGCGGGGCACGGCAGCTCTGCGCGCCGCCGCAGAGGCGGCATGGCCCGCGCTGGCCTGGCGGCTGCCTGCCCAGCCGCTGTGCCTGCCTACCTGCTCTGCTGGCTCCCCAACCAGCTTCAAAGGGCGGCACTGACCTGGCGGCCGCTGCTGCCACCCTGTCCTGCCCTGCCCTGCCCTGCCCCGTCCTTTCCACCCCGCAGCGACAACCTGGCCCGCCTGTTTGATGCCGCCGAGGAGCGCCAGCTCCTGCTCAACCTGCTGCTCCACTGCGCCGACATCTCCAACCCGGTCAAGCCTGCCGCCATCGCCGAAAAAGTGAGTGGTTGGAGCTGGGCCTGGGGGCTGCACCTGCCGGGCTCTGGCTGCCGGGCTCAGCCGGGCTATAAGCAAGCTATAGCTAGGTAGCGGGGTGTGGCAGCTGGTGACAGATGCAAGTGCTGCCGGCCAGCCACGCCCCGTCCCTGGGCGCCCTGCTGGCGTGCCTGCCCTGCTGCTGCGCCGCATGCATAGCGCATCGGTGCTCTGCTCTTGCAACAACAGCAAGACAAGCGTTAAGCAACCTTTCATGCTTTGCTGCAGGTGGGCGGACCGGGTGCTGGCTGAGTTCTTCCTGCAGGGCGACAGGGAGCGGGCGGCGGGGCTGGCCATCAGGTGGGCGCCGCCGCCGGCAGGGACGCTCTGGGCGGTTGCCCCCGGATCGGCAGGGGCTTCCCAGGCGCTTTTGATTAGCTGCTTTACAATCAAAGTGCTTGGGCCTGGGACCCTGGCCATCTGGCCTGGCTCTTTCGCCTGCACACACTCACAGACACGCTGTGATGCACACACTGCGGGCAAGCCAGCCGCCGCTGCCGCCGCCACCCCGCTCCACCTGCCGCAGCCCCATGTGCGACCGCGAGAAGACCAGCCGCGCGGGCAGCCAGATAAACTTCATCGAATTTGTGGTGGCGCCCATCTACACGCAGGTGGGGCTGTGTGTGTGGGGGTGGTGGTGGTGGTGGTGGTGGTGGTGGTGGTGTAGGTGGTGGGTGAAGAATTGAGAGAGGTGTGTGTGTTGGCCCGCTTATACTACACGCGTGTGCATGTGTGCGGGCATGTGTGTGGTGGAGGTGGTGGTGGTGGGGCGCTGTCGGCGGCTGCCCCCCACCCTCACGCCGCACACACACACACACACATACATACACACACACACACGCACACACACACACACACACACGCATGCAGGTCTACAAGATCTTCCCTGAGCTGGGGGAGGCGCTCGACAACCTCATCGCCAACAGGCACTTCTGGCAGGTGTGCGCGTGTGCGTGTGTGCGGGCTTACTGTCTTGGCTGGTGACCGCTGCGGGAGGCTGGCTCCCTGGCACCGCAGTGTGGGTGGAGGTGCGCTCAAGCTCCCTTTCGATCCAGCCACCTGCCCAGCTGCCCCCTGCCTGCAGGATGCGCTGGCGGCTGAGCTGGCGGCCGGCAACGTGGCGGCGCCGGGAGACAGCGGCAGGGCCGGCGGCAGCGTCGTGCGGCCGCCGGAGCAGCGGGCGGAGGAGGAGGTGAGCGGGCACCCTGGCCTGGCGGCTTCGCCTTGCTGGTGCTTGCTGCTGCAGCCTGCTAGTGGCCACAGCAGCCTGCCCATACACGCATGCGCTGCCCCGCCTCGACAGGCTGAATCGCCGCAGTTATCGACACCTGGTACTGCCTGGTACTGCCTGGTACTGCCTGGTACTGCAGGTCAAGGCTGACAAGCGGCTGCGCGACTTCCAGGACAAGTACCGCGACATACTCAGCAAGCGCAAGATGCAGGTACTGCCAGCTGCCGAGTGCACGTTGATGGTTGCTCGCGTGTGGAGACTGATGGGGGCTTGCAAAGCTGTGCACGATGATGCGTGCTCGCGGCTGGCCGGCGCAGGGGCGTGCATGATACCGCCGGCATGCGCGGCGCCAGCCCCGCCAGGCCCGGCCCTCCTGCCCTGGCGCCTGGCCCTGCTGCCCAGCCTTTCACCCCTGCCTTGTGCACCCCTTTGCCGCACACCTCCCCCACCTGCTGCAGCTGGTTCGCCTGGCCTCCACCCAGAGCAGCAAGCTGTCCTTCTTCAGCCCCGTGGCGCCGCAGCCGGGCTCCCCTCCGGGGCGCCACGGCTCGCTCATGGCGCTCATGGAGGCAGCAGAGGGCGGCGGGCTGGAGATGGCGGAGCGGGCCAAGAGCAGCAGCGGGTCTGGGGGCCTGCTGGGCAAGCTGGGGCGGAACATCATGGGCATCGGGAGCACCAGCCGCGGCAGCAGCCGGGGGGCCACCATGGGGCCACCGGGCAGCGGCGCCGGCAGCAGGCGCAGCAGCGCGGCGTCGATAGAGAGCGGCGGGGAGCTGGCGCGGGGTGCCAGCTACTCTGCCGGAGGCGGCGGGGGGTGCCTGGGCGGCGGACACGGCAGGGTGGCGCCAGAGGACGAGTGTGCGGTGTGATGCCGCTTGTCAGGACCGCTTGTCAGGGCCGTAGTACCCCAGCCATATTCTTTTCCCTGCAATTGTTTTCATGTCCTTGCACTGCTGACCTAATGACCAAAACCTACCGATCCGTCCCTCGACTGCCAGCACCCCTGGTTCCTGCAACATGCCCACATGATGCGGCCAGCAGTCTCTAGGCCACTGGTGCCCGCTGGCGTGGCGCGGTGCGCCACCGGGGCCTTGCCAGGAGGCGGCCCAGCCATCACGCTATGGCTGCAGCACAAATGTTTGCCACCCCCAGGGCGGCACCCAGCAGCTGGAAAGCCCTGCCACCACCCTGCTCCTTTCATTCCATCGATGGCTTGCCGGCTGCAGGCCCGCACTCTCCCACCCTCACTGGCATCACTTCAATCACTAACTCCACTCATTACAACTGACATTACTCCCAAAGGGCGGCAACAAACAGCATAGGAGAAAAGCATGCCCACCACCAGTAAGAAAAATGGCAGACGGCGTCACCCAATCAATCATTGGCTCTTCGGGTGCTCTCAACAAAATAAAAACTGGTTGGCATGAGCCAGGGTGTCGGCAACAGCAGGATCAATGGCCCAATAGCAAAACTCTCGGCGGTGCGGGGGTGGTGTGTATCCATGCATTTGGGGGTGGGCAGGCCCAGCAGACAAGGCAGGCTGGGGTGCCATGTGCAGGTTATTGCACAGTTATTGCACAGTTATTGCACAGAATGCTCGACACAGTCGTCTCCTTCACTCTCTCAGAGGCGCTAGCAGTGGCAGCGGCCGTCGGCCTGTTTCTGGGCCTGTTCTCGGCAGCAGCTCTCCTCGTGCTCCTGCGATGGGTGGAGAAGCGCCTGGTAGAGGCGCGGCCCGGCGGCGACAGCCGCCCCCCGCGGCATGCCGAACCCAGTGTTCGGCACGTGCCGCTCGAGGGCAGCTTGCAGCCTGCGCGGGACCCAGCGCCACCCACAGGCGAGCAGACAGCTGAGATTGCGGTGATAGGGCTCCCCGGCTTGGCAGCGGAGGCTGCCGCTGGATGCCTTCCCACACACGAGCATGCCTGCAGACGCCTTTGCGGCTGGCTGCACGCCTTCTACAGCATGTCAGTCAGCGGCGTGCGGGTGCAGCGGGTGTGGATCACGCGGAATGGGCGGATGGCGCTTGAGGCGTCGCTGCCCGCCGCCATGGCTGCTACTGTGCTGGCTGGCAGCAAGCGGCTCAAGGGTACTGGGATCACCCTTGGGCCCGTCCTCAGCCCCAGCGAGCTGCGCGAACGGGAGGCGCGCAGGCAGCAGCAGCCACAGCCCACCGCCGGCGCCTGACGCGGGCGGCGAGCAGCCACCACGTGCGCACGCCACCCCTGCCGTGGCCCCCCACCCGCAGCAGCCGGCCCCCACCGTGTCACCGCCCTCACCACCGGCGGCACAGTGGCCGCCCTTGGCCAGTGCCGTGGTTCCTTTAGCGGCGGCCCCGCCTGCTGCCCCGCCTAACCNCAAGTCGCCTGCGGCAGACGAGCGGCCCGAATCCTCAACTGCGCGGCGGCGACGCCAGCGGCGGGAGACGGCGGCGAGGCACCAGGCGGAGGCCGCCACCTCCACACCCTCATCTCGTGCCCCATCCCCAGTCGAGGTGGCCCCTGAGCACGTCTTGACGGCCCTGCCCAGGCGGTCGGCTCGGCTGGCCCGGGGTTGAGCTTATCCGGCGCTTCATTAAATGCCTCTTGCTATCTTTATGCAGATGCCCACCGTGTGTATTGCTTGGGGCATGCAGCTTATAATTTTGGGTGGGTTTTGTATTTGCTGCAATGTTGTGTACAGCTCTACCCCCCATACCTGAATCTCTTCCCTCATGTGTTTTGTGTTGGTGCATACTTTTCCAGCTGTTTGGCACCACAGCTGGGCCCGTAGCATTCATTTGCTCCTTATGGGTGTAACAGACAGACAGACAGGTGCGGTTTGTGACGGGCAGCAGCAGGCGTGTTTGTCTCTGCGTAGAAACGGCCAGCCTAGTACTGGCAGGGAAGGGAAGGGCGACAGGTGCGAGGTCGTGACGAAGAAGATGATGCAGTTTGGTCAGTAGTCCGTGGTTGGTTTTAGGCAGGAGACGAGAAGAGCAGGCGGTGCTTGAAAGGGGGGCCAAAAAAGGGCCAGCAGAGTGTTTGCCTGGCGCAGCAGCAGCAGAGGGGAATGCAATAGGGGAAACAGCGGGACAGGAGCGAGCGCTGCGGGCAGGTGCTCAGGAGAAAGGACAGGTGGGCGGGAACAGAGGGAGAGAGGCTCGTGGCGCGCGCCGCTGCCAAAAGGCGTGGAGGGCACATCGGCTGTCACAGAGGGGTGGCGGGAGCAAGGGGTCGGGGCTTGGCAGCTGGAGCCGAGCTCCGCAGAAAGAGGGAAGCGCAAGCTGCTCCTTCAGCCTGCTGCGGGCCTTCTGCGGGCTTCCACCGGTGTGGAGGCTCGCCACCATCCCATATAATGATGTCATCATGACCAATCACTCACTCCCTCACTCCAGCGGCTTGATGCGCACCACCCGCGTGCCCGGGGCGCTGCTGCTGCCGGTGCCCTCCCGGCTGCGGCTGGAGCTGGAGCTGCGGGGCGTCTGCTGGCGCAGCACCGCCTGCATCTCGGCCCACGTGCGGCTGGCGCCGGGCGGCGCTGCACGTGAAGAAAAGAAGGCGAGGGGGCACACGTCAGTTCATGTGAGGCGCAGCATGGTGCCGGCATGCGATGCCTGGCGCTGCAGCCCGGACGCAGGGCATGCCACGCAAAGCAGGGCGAGAGAGTGAGGCAGGCAGGCAACAGGGTTAGTGGCAGCCTCCGCAGGCAGCAGGAAGGCAGCAGGTAAGCAGAAGGAGGAGGCGCGGCGCAGCGGTGGCTCGCCTGGCGCCAGCGGGTTGTCTATGCTGCGGCGCTGCACCACGCGGTGCGGCCTCAGGCCCGGCACGGCGGGCCCGCTGCGGCCGGGGCTGATGCCGCCTTCCGCCGAGCCCGCTGGGCGCGGCGAGGCGGCCTGGCTGGAGTCTGAACCCACAGACAGCGGCCCGGCAGGTGCCGCCGCCGTCGCGCCGCGCGGGCCGGCAGGGGTGCCGGCGCTGCCGCTGGCGCCGCGGGAGGCGGCAGGCGACGGCCCCGTGCGCGGCGGCGTGGGGCCGGCCGCAGGGCGGACCGCCGCCGCGGCCGCCAGCCCGCGCTGCCTGGCCTCCGAATCTGGGAAGGCCAGGCCGCTGCTGCTGCTGGCGGAGCTGCTGGTGGAGGCGTCTGGCAGGCCCGCCAGCTGGCGCTGCCGCCCGCTGCGCGCGCTGCGGTCGTCGGCCACCTGGCGCTGCGTGCCGGCGCTGCCGCCGCCGCCGCCGCCGGCCAGCGCGGCGCCCAGCGCGGCGGTACCGCCTCGCCTGCTGCCGTGCACGCTGCCCTCCAGGTACACCTTGGCCGCCGCAGACAGCAGCTGCAGGGTGGAGGGGCGGCGCGCCAGGCCGCCCTCCGCCTCCTGCTGCCCGCCTGGCGCCAGCGTGGCGCCGCCGCCGCCGCCGCCGCCGCCGCCGCCACCCCGCCGGCTCGCCTCCCTGCTCGACGCCCGCTCCATTTCGGAGAGCATGACAGAGGTGGGAGACTTGGTCAGCCCTCCCGGAAGCAGCAGCGAGCCAAAGCGCAGGCGCCGGGAGGTGGAAGGGTCCGCCTGGGCCCTGCAGGAGCAGGCAGGGAGCAGGGTGGCAGTTGGGAGGAGGGTCGCGAGGGGGTGGAGGCGGTGCTGCGTGTGCGGGTACAAGGGTGGCCATGGGGCGGGGCCGAGGGTTTCGAGCGCGCCTGCCTCCCGGCAAGCATCCCATTTGCGGGGCCAAGCAGCAGCAGCTTAAGCTTTAAGGTGGGAGCAGCGTGCCAGCATGGGGGCCCTCTCACCCGTGCAGGGAGCCGCCCAGGATGGGTGAGGAGCTGCGGCGGCCCCAGCCCAGGCGCCGCCCGCTGGCGCTGCCCTCGCGGCTGCTGCCCGCGGCGCTGCCGCCGGCCGCGCCGCGCCGCACGCTGACGTCGTCTGCAGCGCGGCAAAGGGCGGCAGGGAGGCGTCAGCTGCGGGCCAGGCTGCGTGGTTATGCAAGGTGCGTGGTACCGGCGGAAGTGGACTGGGCAGGTGGTTGGAAGGTTGGGCGCGGCCGGCCGGCCACCCAGCCGGCACAGCAGCCGGTTCTGTGCCCACCCACACACACAGAAAGCAGCACGCGCCGCACCGCTTCCCACCGGACTTGCCTTTTGGGTGGATGGAGCCGCCCGCGTCGTGCGCCTTGGCATAGGCGTTGCTGGCAAGAGAGGTGGCCAGCCGGTGCATGGCGCCCCCGCGGCTTGCATCCAGCCTGCAGCCGGGTACACGAGAGCCAGAGGCACAGTGGGGTGAGCATGCGCGCGGGGAAGGCCAGGGCAGCGGCGGCGGCTGGCTCGCCGGCCGAGGCAGCATAGCGATAACAGGGAGCACTGCACACATGCATAATAGTATGCCAGCCTGTGAGCTGCCTCAGGCAGGCACGCTGGGCAGCGCCAGCAGGCGGGCAGCGCCAGCAGGCACCCAGGGCAGTCCCAGCAGGCGGGCAGGCAGCTCACCGCTGCGACTGCTTGAGGCGGCGCAGGTACACGTCTCTGGCGCTGTCTGCCATGCCTGCGCCCGCGCTGGCGGCCTTGGCGGGCACACCCCTGCCGCCGCCGCCGCCGCCGCCGCGCCCGCCGCGCCCGGCCCCCGCGGCCGCCGCCGCTCGGTTGAACGCCACCACCCCGCCGCACAGGTTACGCAGGCGGCGCACCGAGGCGACGGTGGCTGCGCCGAAGACGACGTCTTGGCCCAGCGGGCGCGGCAGCACGCCGCCGCGGCTGACCACCCACTCGTGGGCAAGCACCTGCTCTATGGTCATGCGGCGGGCTGGGTCGTAGGCCAGCATGCCCATCAGCAGGTGCTTGGCGTCAGGGGACAGCTCCAGCCACCTGCGGGGGGCAGGCAGGCAGGGCAGGCAGCCGGCAGGGCAGTATTGGAAATACTGTCGTGTCCCGCCCGAGGGCACGAGGCGACCAGGTAGGGTGTGGAGCATCCAGGCAGGCACAGCAGGCACGGCAGGCACGGCAAGCAGGTCAGGGGACCCATCGTGCCGGCCGCGAGGCAAGGAGAGGAGGCAGGTGGCGATGCACGCGGCGGCAGGGCCGCGCAGGCGGCATGCACGCGCCAGCTCGCCCGCTGCACCCCGCGCCGCGCCGCCCGCGAGCGGCCGAGGTCACCCCCGCCCGCTCCCAACCCCCGCCCCGCCCCAACCGTGCAGCCGAGGTCACCCACCGGGGGTCTTTCAGGCCCGGCGCGTCCGTCAGGCTCATCGTGGCATAGCGCAGGCTCTCGCTCTCCTTGATGTTGAAGGGCTTGCGCCCCACCAGCATGATGAAGAGGAGGGCTGGGGGGAGGGAGGAGGGGGAACAAGCCACGTCAGCACCGCCAGGTCAGCAGCGAGAACGCATGCCATCCTTCCACGCAGGCAGCCACAGACACTCTCTCTCTGTCTCTCTCTCTCTCTCTCTCCCTCACACACACACACGCGCGCATGCCGCGCATGCTCACCTCCCAGGCTGAAGACGTCCATGGATGGGGCATGCACTGCGCCGTGGATGATCTCGGGAGCCACAAAGCCGGGGCTGCCCAGCGGGCCTGCGGGGCAGGCAGGTGGGCGGAAGGGCAGGGGGCAGCCAGGGATACTTGCGGCCGTGTCTTGCTGGCCGTGGCCTGCTGGCGGCTCCCAGCGGGCCGTGGCCTGCTGTCGGTCCCAGCCCAGCGCAGCGCGGCACTGCACAGCACAACACAGCGCAGCGCAGCACAGCGCAGCGCAGCACAGCGCACACAGCGCAGCACAGCCTCACCCGTGATGGGCTTCAGCGGGTCGTACAGGCAGGCCATGCCCAGGTCCACCAGCTTCACGGTAGGCATCTTGCGGTGCGGTACCAGCGGGCATCCCGCCTGCAGCTGCGCCGCCGTCAGCGGCGCCTGCTTCACCTCCCCCGGCGGCTCAGCAAACATCACGTTCTCAGGCTTGATGTCCCTGCGGGATCCAGGGCAGCAGCGGGGTGAAGGCGGGCAGCAGGCCGGGGGTGGGAGCAGCCGCGGGCTGTTGCAAGGCGCCGGGTGGCGGCGGGGCGAGCCGGTGCCGCCACGCGCTCTAGTTGGTGCGCGGCGCCGACGCTTGGACGACTGCACACCTACCCGCCCGCCCATCGAGACACACCCCACAATAGAAAACACCACACACGCGCCCACACCCACCACACACCGCACCCTCAACACCACACCCTCGACACCGCACGACACCACACAACACCACACAATGCCACAAAACACCACATCGCACCACCCCACACCTGTGCAGCACGTTGTACTCATGCAGGTGGGCCACCGCCTCCGCCACCTGCGCAAACACGGCCGCCGCCTGCTGCTCGCTGTACTGCAGGCCCAGCTCGTGCAGGCGGTCGATCACCTGGCCGCCGCTGCAGAAGAATAGAGAGGCAGGGGCGTGCATGGGGAGGGTGTGGGTGTGCGCATAGCGGTGGTGGTGGTGGTGGTGGCAGTAGCCGTTGGTGGTGGGCGGCCATTGCGAAGGGGGAGCCCCTTCATTAGTTGGCGGACGGTCCCCTTGCTGCCGGCCGGCCCGCGCGGGTTGGTTGCTTGGGGTCTGAGGCCGGGCGCCCCGCCTGCTGCTCCCTGTCGGCGCCGCGCCGCCGGCCCGGCGCCGGGGCCCCGAAAACATACAGGCCAGCAGGGGCGCTCACCGCAGCCACTCCAGCACCAGCACCAGCTGCCTGGGCGAGCGCACCACATCTTTGAGCTCCACCAGGTTTGGGTGCTCCAGCATGGACAGCAGGTCAGACTCGCTGCAGTGGGGCAGGAGGCGGGGCAGGGCAGAGCAAGCAGGAGGCGATGCAGCGGCGGCTCAGCAAGCGCGGCATGGTGTGTATTCATGTGCTTGTGCGCATGCATGCATGCGCGGCGCCTGCACCGCGCATCGCCCACGCGCGGCCGGCGAGGCAGCCGCGGCCCGGCGCCTGCGCGGCGCCTGCGTGCGTGCGGCCCCGAGCGGCGGCGGGGGGCGCTACCATCCCGTCTGGGGCCGCGCACATCATTGTCTAAAGCTCAAAACTCTCTTCCGGGAACCCCGGGATCGCAACCTGGGCATGAGAACGTGTATGCCTATGGACTGTGCCGCTCACCGCTGCAGGATGGCAAGGTGTTCGGGGTCGTCGACGACGGCGGGGCTCTCCAGGAACACAACCTTCAACGCCGCCATCTCCCCGCTGGTCTTGTGGCGGGCCAGCACCACCTGGGACAGCGCCCCCGCCCCCAGGTCCTTCACCACATCCCACTGCTTGCGCGCGGGGTGGTCGTCCCAGCGCTGCCACCCCGCGTCAAAGTCGTCGGCGCCGCACACGCAGAAGCCCATGGCGGGCGGGCGGGGCCGAGGCGGGGCGGGCTGCATGGCGCAGCAAGAGCCAGGTAGCCTGTTCATCTCGAGACAGGGGCCGGTGGCAGTGCAGCGGCGGCGGCAGGCGGCATGTGGCGGCGGGAAGCGGCAGCGGCGGGAAGCGGCGGTCAGCGCACCTGCCTGACTCGGGCGCTCTCCCCCGATGGGTTACTGCATGCTGGCCAGCCGCTGGCTGCTGGCAGGCGGGTGCAGCCTGGGGTGGGGCAGTCTCAGGGCTGCCCGTCTCGGGGAGTGCGGGAGTCGAGCTGGTTGCGCTTGCGGCCGACTCTATGGCGTGCTGGCTTCAAATGGGCGCAGCACGGGAACGCAGGGCTGGCGATGGCGCACTTGGGAGCAGCGAGTGCGGGCGCCGCCGCTATCTGGTAAGCTGGTTGCAACAGCCACACTGGAGCGGGCCTGTTATGACTTTCCTCGGATGACGCCGCCGCATGCGGAGGATCTGCAGGACATGCTCGCGCACAGGGGGGGCCCTCTTGAGCGTGGGGGGCACTTTTCTCACGTGGGCAGAACAAAACCTCCCGCCCCCCAACCCAACCTGCGTTCCAACCCAATTCAGAGAGCGCCTGGCCTGCTGACTGCGGGCAGGCGTGTAACCGGAGCCTGCAGAGGGCGGGATGGCCAGCATCGTCTGCCCTTGCGTCACGATTTCAAGCAGTCAGAATGCATGCAATAGCCTAATTGAGATCAGCAGTAATCCTGTTGGGGCGGGTCAAGCGGGGTCGACGTTGGGCACACCCGCCCGCCAAGCAGGCGGCGACAGGCAACTGTCGAGCAGCGCAGCGCAGCCGAGTTCAAGGACCGTAGCACCAGCATCAGTGCCAATGCATGAATGGCAGCTCCTGCTTGCGCTGCTTACAGGCTCCTGTGGGATGGCGCGGCGCCCAGCCGCCGCCGCCCGCCACCTCAGCGCAACGCAGACCTGCCTGCATTTCCAGGGGCCCGCCCAGCCGCCCGGCTGCTCTTCTGGCACCTTTGCCTCCATCTGCCCACCCTGCATCACCCCCAACCGCTCCGCGCCACCCTCTCACGTCACATTGCGGCCGTTTCCGGCCCCTGTTCGCCCTTATCGCCTGCGGGTGGGCTCACGGCCGAGCCAGCAAGCGGGCGGGCCGCGCGCAAGCCGCAAGACAGCCCTGCGGAACAGATTCGCGCTCAAACGGGCGGCCGCCTCCCTGGCTAGCCTGCCTGCCCACCAGCCGACGCACCTGGCGCAGCAGCAGGGGCAGGAGCCGGGCGCAGGGCCCGCCGCGCCGCATCCATGCCGCTGACGGACCTGGTGCCGGCGGCGGCGGCGCACCCGCTGCTGCGCGACCGCCGCCGCCTGGCGCGCTACCTGCTGCTGGGCGCGGGCGCCGCGGCAGCAGGCTACGGCGCCTACCGCCTCTACCACTCCGAGGCGGCGGCAGACGGGCGGCGACAGCTGGCGCACCTGCGCGCCGCGCTGGCCGCCTACGCCGACGCGTTTGGCACCGGCGCAGACACGCTGCAGCTGCTGCTCGCCGACCTGCGCGGCTTCCTGCAGTCTGACCGCGCCGACGTGCCGCCCAGCCTGCGCCAGCTGGCGCGCCTCATGCAGTCACAGGAGGTGGCAGACTCGACGTCGGCCACCGTGGCGGCGCTGCTGCGCGGCGTCCCCTCGGCAGGTGGGCAGGGCGCAGAGCAGCGAGCGACTCTGCAAGTGGCCGCCTGCCTGCCTGCAGGCCAGCCTGCCTGGCCTGCGCGCCTGCCTGGCCTGCGTGCCTGCCAGCCTAGCTGCCAGCCAGCCTGCCTGCCTGCCTGCCTGCCTGCCTGCCTGCCTGCCTGCCTGCCTGCCTGCCAGCCTGCCTGCCAGCCTGCCTGCCTGCCTAGTTCCAGCAGCAACCATCCAAACAAGGGTGCACAGCACGGCCCTGCAACGCACCTCCCGTCCTGTCCCGCCGCCCCGCAAACACTCCCCGCCCACCGCCTGTGCCTCCCGCGCGCCGGCACCCGCCTGCCTGCAGGCGCCGGCTCCTCCGCGCCGGCTGCAGCAGCCGTGGATGGCGACCGCCACGGCACCAACCACGGCAGCAACCATGGCGGCGGCAGCCGTGGCGGGGGCGCACTGGATCGGGTGCTGGAGGCGTTGCTCAGCGAGCGGGGCCAGGGCCTGGTGTCTGTGGCCGTCAGCCTGGGCGCCCGCAACCTCGTCGCCGCCTACTGCGAGGCCCAGCACACGCTGGCGGCGCAGGACGCGGCGGCGGCGGCGGCCGCGCACGCGCCGCCGCCGCCCGACCTCGCCGCCCGCCTGCTCGGCTTCCTGGCCTCGCCGGCGGGCCAGCAGCTGGCGGTGCTGACCATCGGCGCCTTTGTCTCCTCAGGCATGCGAGCCTACTTGGACCAAACCTTGGACCTCAACCTGTACGAGGTGCGCCTGGCGGGGCTGCTGGGTGCGCCTAGCAGGGCTGCGGGGGGTGGCGGCGCCTGCTACTGGGTGTGGTACGCGGCGGGGCGGCGGCGCTGCTGCTGGATGTTGTGTGCGGCTGCGGAGCGGTGGCGGTGGGTGTTGTGGGAGACGCAGGCAGCGCGGGGTGCAGCAGGAGGTTGGCAGAGGCCCCAATGCCAGCGACGCCGGCGCTGCGGCGGCGCAGCCGCCGGCCTGCCGGCCTTGCTGGCCTGCCCAGAAGCCTGCTGATGCCTGCTTGCTGCCTGCCGGCACGCCACCCCGCCTGCCTGCCCTTCCGCTGTGCAGGATCTGTTTGCGGCGATGGCCAAGCCGGAGCACCTGGAGGCGGTCAAGCAGTGTGTGGGGGTGTTTGCGCGGGACGTGGTGGGCACGTACCTTGCCGGGCCAGCCGCCATCCAGGCGGGCAGCGGCCAGGACGCTGCTGCTGCTGCCGCGGCCGCGGCACAGCCGCCGCCGCCGCCGCGCGCGCAGCTGCGGCTGTCCACGAGTATACACAAAGTGCTGGGCGGGGCCGGCGTGGAGCGGGAGCGGCGGCCGCGGGAGGAGGAGGAGGAGGCGGCGGCGGCGGCCGACACGGGCAGCCCCTGCGGCAGCAGCGCGTCGGGGGAGTGGTCGGGGCGGCGGTGCCAGGCGGCGGCAGTACCGGCCCCTGCGGCGCCTTCTGATATAGACAGCGACGTGCTGCTGCCCCCTGAGGCTGCGCCGGCCAAGGGCGGCGGCGGCGGCGGCGGCGGCGGCGACAGCGCTCGCAGCCACGACAGTGCCGCCTCCTGCTGCTGCACGCCGCCTGCCGCAGCAGAGACTGCCGCGGCGGCCGCCGGCGCCGCGGCGCGGCCGGTGCTGCCGCAGCTGCGGCGCGTGCAGCAGCAGGAGGCGGCGGCGGGCCTGCAGCGCCAGGGCAGCGGCAACCTGGAATGGATTTCGGCCGTCGGCAAGGAGTGGCTGAACGTGAGCACCGCAGCCCTCGCTACACCCATGCTGCTACCTGCTGCTGCACCTGCTGCCCTCCCTCCAGCCCCGCTCCCCCTGCCTGCTGCTCCCATCTTCAGTGCTTATCCCCCCGGCCTGCTGCTCCCCTTCTCTCGCCTCCAATCTCCACCTCCTGCTCCCCGCTCTGCCAAACCGCAGGTGGCCCAGCACCCACATGGCCGTACCGTGATGGTGGAGCTGGCCGGTACCGCGGCCAAGGAGGCGGCACGCGGCATGGGTGCCGCCCTGGCCGACCAGTTCCACACGCAGTGGCTGGTGCTGGCCGCGTTTGCCGTGCTGCTGCTGGCCTTGCTCATGCAGCGCATGCTGGCCACGGTGCTGCTGTGAAGCATCACCGCTTAAAAAGAGCGGCACGACGGTCCCGCCCCAGCGTCCATTGCCCCGAGGATGTGTGTGACGCCTAGCCCCTGAGCGATGCAATTTTGAGTATTAGCCCTGCCTCCCCTACCCACTCCCATTCTTCTCCCCATTTCTTGCCTGCCCCTCCCCCCAAGCCGCGGCGCCCGGTTGCCGGCCGGCCGGCGCCACGAATCCCGCCCCCCAGAATCCCCGGTTGTGCGCCCCATTCTTGGGATTGTTAACGTTCCATCAGAAGCATTTGGGAGCAAGTGTGGCTTCCACCTGGCTGGCATCCGGGGGTGGACCGTCCAGCGCGGCGCCCAGCGTGGCGCAGCCGCATGCCCTGCCAGATTCGCCGGGGGCTGGCGCGTTGACTGCCAAGCATCCACCGCGTCCCCTGCAGCATGGACGCGCCCATAAAGCGGCACGCCACCCCCCTGCGGCTGCCGTCTTCCGGCTCCAGCCGTGACCTGGCGGAGGCCGTGGCGGACAGCATAGAGGTGGGGGCTGACAACGCCTGTTGCCGGGGCGGGCGGCAATAGACCAGCAGCAGTGCTTGGTCGACCCTCGGCGGCGGCACCGGCGGCAACACTCGGCAGCGCCGCCGTTCCCTCCACCCTTTGCCTCGCCCCTTCATCGTTGCCGCCTTTGCAGGCCGAGGATGCGGATAAGGAGGAGAATGGGGGCAGGTCGGAGGGCAGCGAGGGGGGCGAGGCCTTCAGCCCCGCACGCGTGGCGCAGCAGTTTGGGCGGGTGGCGGCAGAGGGGCTTCACCTGGAGGAGGAGCGGCGGAAGCTAGGGCTGTCGCCCGAGGCGCAGGCGCAGCTGCCGCACCCCACGTGAGGTCCCGGGGCGCCCATGTGGGGGCATAGGGGTGTGCTTAAGGGCTCGGCCGCTGCCGGCTGGGTCCGCCTCTGCCACAGCCGGGTCTGTTGCCGCGAGGGGGATGGCCGCCGCCTGGCTGGAACCTTCACGGCTGGCTGGCTGGTCCTGCAGGGTGATGGAGGAGTGGGAGGCCAGGATCAAGGACCTGGCCCTCATCTCCAAACTGGCAGCGCAGCTGTACACTTACCTGGGAATCGGTGCGCCTGGCAGCCCTGCCGGGGAGCCCTGCACCTTGAACCCAGATGGGCCGCCCACGCCCCTGCCGGCGCCGCCGGCCGCCTCCGTACGAGCGGCCGGCATCGCTGGCCATGCAGCGCATGCCTCTCTCTGTTGTGGGACGCCGGGCAGGCGCTGCTGGACCTGCTGGTACCTGCCCTGTATTGCATCACTCACCTGTACCGTACCGTACCGCACCCCGCACGCCCCCACTCCGTCCAGGCTGGCGCTGGTACGTCTCCTTCTGGCGCCTCGTCCTCTTCTCCACCCTGCTGCTGCCCGGCTTCCTCCAGATGGTCGCCTTCTACTTCCTCAGCCCCCGCCTGCTGCGCTCGGTGCCCTACGGCCTGCAGGTGGGCCCTCAGGGCGGTGCGGGAGGGAGGCAGGGCGCTGCCTGGTGGGCCGGTGCATGCCGTAGGCGCGGGTGGCGGCGGAGGCGGGGAGGTGGGAGGCGTGGGTCCAGTGCGCGAGGGCGCAGCAGGCGCAGCAGGCGCAGCTCCCGGGAAGCGGGGCGCGCACCTCGTTGCCTGCGCCGCTTCCCCGTGCCGCCACCCAGCGCCGCTGCTCCGCGTAGCCATCCAGCGCCGCTGTCCCGTGCCGCCAGCGCCGCGCCGGCAAGCGGCGCGCCATTGGCTGCGCCCCCACTGCCTCGCCCCACTGCCCTTGCGGCCCCCACCTCTGTGCCTGCAGCCCCGCAACCGGCTAGATATCTACCTCCCGCGCAAGGAGTGGCGGCAGCGGGGGCCGCGGCCCACCGTCATCTTTGTCACAGGCGGCGCTTGGACGATCGGATACAAGGGTGGGGGCTTGCCTTGCCAAGCTGGCTGCCTGGCTGGCGGCCTGGCTGGTGGCCGGCCGGCCGGCTGGCCGGCTGGCTGGAGCCAGCACCCTGCCCTGCTTGCTTCCGGCTGGCGCAGACGCACGGGACGTACTCATGAGAAGCTGCCTGCTGCCTGCCGTCCGCTGCTCATCACCGCTCCTGCCTCCTGCCCCTAGCCCCCGCCCCTGCCCCTGCCCCCTCATGCAGCCTGGGGCGCGCTGCTTGCGCGGCGGCTGAGCCAGCGGGGCGTGCTGGTCTTCTGCCTCGACTACAGAAACTTTCCTCAGGTGCGCAGCTTTCCTTAGGAGGGCAACTTTCCTTAGGTGGGCCCGCTGGCAGCGGTGGAGCTGCGGGGGCTGGGTGAGTGGTTGCAGGGAGGAGGCGGCGGCTTGGCGGCCGCGGCCGCCTCGTGCCCCACAGAGCACACGCAGTCACCTTTCCTTGGGCTTGAACGCTCGCCCAAGTGCCATTCCTTCCAACCCTCCTGCGCCTGCTCCGCCGCTGTGCCTGCCGCACCTGCTGTCTACAGACAGAGTTTTGCAACGCTTCTGCCGTTATGTGCTTTGTAGCTTTTGTTTCTAATTAAAGTCTGGATCGTGCCCGGCATTGCAGGGCGACGCGCTGGACATGCTTCAGGATGTGAACACCGGCATCGCCTGGGTGCTGCGCCACGCCCCCGCCTTTGGCGGCGACGGCGCCAGCTTCCACCTGGTGGGCCAGTCGGCGGGCGGCCAGCTGGCGGCGATGGCGCTGCTGCTGCAGGTGGCGGCGCGGTCGCAGGCGGGAGGCGTGGTGGGCGCCTCGCCCGCCTGGGACCCCTCGCTCATAAGCGGCTTTGTGGGTGTCAGGTGGGGGGCGCGGGCAGGGAGCAAGGATTGTGGGGTGCACGGAGGCGCACAGGGTGCAGGAGGCGCGCCCCTTGCCTGCCGTGCCCGCTGCCCTCCCCTCCGCCACTGTTTCCCGCTGGCTGCCGCGGCCGGCCTGCCGGCCGGCCAGCCTGCCGGGCTGCGGTCCCCATCCCCACCCTCAACACCACCCCTGCTCGACGTATCTGCCGCCCCTGCCGTGCCCGCCGCTGCTGGCCCTGCTGGCGCTGCAGCGGCACCTACAACCTGTACGCCCTGGCCGACCACCTGCACCGGAGGGGGCTGTACCGCAACCTGTTTGAGGCAATACACTCGCTGGACGGCAAGCCCAAGCTGCGCGAGCTGAGCCCCACCTTCCAGATCAGGTGCGGCGGGCTGTGTGTGTGTGTGTGTGTGTGTTGTATGTGTGTGTGGCTGTTAGGATGTATGTGGTGGGTGGTGGTTGTCCCAGGAGGAGGAGGAGGCGCTGGGGGTGGTGCAGCAGAGGGAAGGGAGGAGGCCCGGCGGCGCATGCTGCTGCTAGGGCGGCCGGGCGCCGCCGGCCGGGTGGCTGCCGGCGGGCGGCTGCCGCTGCGACGCCCGGCCTAGCTCCCACCGCTGGCTGCCGCCGCCGCAGGAAGCTGGGCCCCGCGGTGGGCCGCCTGCTGCCGCCCGTGCTCATCCTGCACGGTACCGCCGACAAGTCGGTGCCGATGGAGGTGGCGGTGGAGTTTGTGGCGGCGCTCAAGGTGGGGAGCGGGTTGAGGTGGGCAGCGTCCTGTGTGTGTTTGCTACCACCGTCGGCGTGTGGCTGGGGCGGGGCCAGGGCTGTGGAGCGGTGCGGGCGTGTGCCCGGAGGCCGGCAGGCCATGCGGCGGCCCCTCCTGAGCGGCCTCCGGCGCGTGCCTGGCGCTGCGTGCTGTCATTGTTTTTGCACTGCAAGCAGGAGTCGGGTGTGACGGATGCGCGGCTGAAGCTATACAAGGACAAGACCCACACCAAGCCGATTGTGGAGGACCCGAGTGAGCAGCACAGGGCGCCCGCTGGACCCTGGATGGCGCCCCGCAGCAGCGACAGCCCGGCAGCGCGCCCGCGCTGCCGGGCTGACGCTGACGTGGCGGCGCCGGGCCGCGGCGCAGTGGTGGCGGTCGGGGCGTGGCCTGGCCCTGCCGCAGTGCCGGCCTGATTCCCCTTCCCTTACCTGGCTGCCCCCCTGGCCCCTGCCGCAGTGCGGGGCGGGCGGGATGAGCTCATGGATGATGTGCTGTCGATGGTGCTGGGGCGGGAGTGTCACAACCGGCAGATGGCCATGCTGCCGGCGGTGCTGATCGACCTGGCCAGCCTGGTGTGCCCCTTCTGACGTGCCAGCCTGCGCGGGCGAGGCAGCGTGCGTTCGTGCCCGCGGGCTGAGCGGTGCAGGAAAGCCGGTTGCCGCCAGCCCAGCAGGCTCGACGGGCGCCCGCGCCCATCGGCGGCGGGTGTGCGGGTGGCGGCACGGCAGCGCCGTGTTGGAGAACTGCCGACCTTGCATTAGACCTAACTGATTCGGCTTGTGGTGCGCTTTGCTGTTGTGCTGACTGACGCGGCTGGATGCGATGCTCTTGCTGGCCAGGCGGGCGCCAGGTAGCAGGTGCCACACCCAGGTGAGCCAGCGGCACATCGCACGCTGTGCCAGGAGCTGCATCCCCTCCACCAGGAGCTGCTCAGCTGGGACTGGGTGTTCGCCAAGGCGCTCACAGGAGCTGAGGGTCAATGTGAACCGGATGGAATTGGATGGGAGGCAGCATTGGGGGTCCTGCCCTGCAGGCAGCTCCAACTACAGCAGGGCTCTTTTGGTCGCCTCAGCTTCCCCACATGCAGCAGTTGTACGGGGACCAACCAGTTGACCCGACAACAATGTGCAGTTATGCCGCTTTTTGATTTTGTTTTGCAAGTGGCTAAGTTAAAGCAAGCAGCATGGCCGGGGCCCGCTGCCTGCCGCTTGTCCTGATGGCCGTTTGCGGGCATCGTCTGCGCTCGGGCTGGTCCCCTGAACGTCGCCTGCGAGGACGTCACTGGGATTGACTACTGTGAGCTATTCATGGGGCGCGCAGCGCGATTTGGGCAGCGCAGCACCGCTCGCAGCCAGTCAGCAAGGCTCCACTTCCCGGTTGAGTAGTTCGCTGCGTGCTGTAGGCACGGAGTGTGGCAAGGCTGCCGTGGGCGCAGGGAAGACCTGCTTCTTGTGCCACCATACGCGCGCCCCAGTTTGGTCCACAGCCGGAGCCATCACAGCGGTAGGCCTGTGGTGCAACCAGCTGCCCCATTTACCGGAACCAGGCCCAAACCCACATTCTCCGCATCGCACAGTCGGTTAAAGAGTGTGGGCAAGAGGGGGGCAATAAGGGGGCCTCCCGTCCTCCTCTCCAGCCACCCGCCCACCTGGCCGCCGCCCGCAGTGCAAGACAACCACCACTGGCGCCACGTGCCTCAGCGCCAGCGGCGACCTCAACTGCGCCCGCTGCGACGGCATCTGGTGTGCCCAGTGCAAGCCAGGTGCGGGGTGGCATGCCAGCGGGCAGGGGCCAAGTGGTTCTCACCTTTGCTGCAGATGGCGGGAGGCACGGCAGTGTTTTTGTTCTTCCTCTAGTTTCCAATTCTGCTGCTGCTTGCAGGCTTCTATTTTGACTCCCAGTACCGCTGCCTGAATGCCAACGGCAACTGCGCCAAAATCTCCGACAACCCCGACTGCTCCGCCTGCAATGCCGGTGAGTGCAGCCGAAGAAAGCGCAGCCACTCCAGTGGTGCTGTCAGCAGTTCTCTGCCTGACGCGCTGCGGTGGCAGCAGATGGCGTGATTGGGTAGGTGGCTGAGAGCGGGTAGCGCGTGGGATGAGGGAATGGTGCGGTGCGCACACACCTGCCAGGTTCTGCCCCTGGCTGCTGCCTGGCGCCTCGGCTCAGCCAGGTAAAGGTAAAGGGAAGGTAAAGGTGGGGAAGAGCCTCCACAGGCTTAACTTCCCGGTTTTAACGTCTAGCTTTAGACCATTATTTGATCTGCCCGACGCGCCAAGTGCAGTACCCCCCACTAGTAGTGAATGGGTCCCGGGGAGGCCTGTGCCGAACCCTTAGCGATTCTATTAGGCGTTCCCGAATGAATTGGCTTAGATTGGCGCTGAGCCGGTCAGCTATGCCGCGTTTGTCCTCACAAAGTTTCGACATGGGAGGAATCGAACCTGTGCCCTCTCGGAGGGTTTAGACACTAGCTCCAGCGCCTTCAAAGAAGGCCTTTCTTAGCCGCGGGAGCAAAGGCTTCTCACGACCCTTTCTGCACTGCTGCAGACGGCACATGCACCAAGTGCAAGGCTGCCACTCCAGCGTTGTTCATCGTTCCTTGCTCGAGTCCCCCGGCGCGGCCGGGCCCCGCGCCCCCCTCCCGCTCCTCTGGGGCCCTTCTTGAGCAACACCCTGCCTTGGGGACGCAGGACGAGGGCGACCGCAGCATCGCCGGCTCGCTTGGCCCGCCAGCCGCCCATTCTGCAACTGCCCGCACTCGAGATGGCCTCCTGATGGTGCGTGGAGGGGTGCCCCGGGCCCTGCGGCGCCCGCGGCTCGGCTAGTCCGGCGAACACCCCCTCGGGCCGGTGCCGGCTCCCGGCCCGTTGTATGAGCCCCCGTGTGCCCCGTTGGTGCCCGGCCACCCCCTCTGCGACTTGTTCGCCCCCTACGACGCGTTTTGTGCGCGCCAGCCCCTCCCCCCAATTCCCGCTTCCGTGTGTCGCGGCCCCAAGCCCTGGTGCTTTCCCTTCAGCGAATTGAGACGTGGGGTGGCGTGGCTTGGCGGAGGAGCCTGTTGCCGCCGAGCGATTTGCGTTCGGGCAGGCAGCTGCTGCTGCTGCCGCCGCGTGCCGGGCGGCCCGCCGTCCCCCCCTCTTTTCGCTCACTCCGTGCCTGCCGTTCTGGTCGTCACGCCCCTACTCTCCCCCCCGTAACCCGCAGATGCTTGCGCTTTTGCGCTTGCCCCGTCCTCCCCTTGCCCGGTCTTCCCGCGTGCCGCCTTCACCTTTGCGGCCCCCGCCCGCCCGCCTGGCCGCTCTCCCAGCTACTGTGCCGGGGTGGGTGGGCCCGCTTTCTGGTGGTGGTGGTGTGCGGGTCCTCGACCTGCCCCTCCCCCCCACTGGTATGCTTGCCGCCCTTGGGCTGGCCATCAGGCGCCCCTCGCCTCCCTCCCCGCCCTTTGCGCCCGACCGCTCCCTGAGCCCGCCCTTTGCCGCCCGGGCGGTATTGCATGCTTTCATACAGTCCAGAGCTAGTGGGCACGGCTTGTGTGCCCCCAGCCCATTAATGGGCATTGCCTCTGTAACATCACAGATCACAGATCTCCAGCGCTCAGGCTGGCACCTCTCAACTCAATTTACATCAATGCTGGCTTCCCCAAGACAAAGGTGAGAAGTGCGCCGGGGGCACAGAGGCGGGTGTGTAAAGGTGCAACTGCCGTGTGGCTGGGTGCAGTGTTGGGGGCAGCGGCAGACAAAGATGGTTCTGGAGAGAGAGTGAGCACTGGGCGACAGTGCGTGGACCTGGGACATGGGGCATGCGTGGTTAGAGGCACGGCAGGCAGGGCAGCTGCAGCCGCCAGCCGCTGGCAGGGCTGCCACCAGCCCTATGCCTTCGGGAACGCCTACAAGAATTGCTCAGGTTTCGGCACAGGCCTCCCCGGGACCCATTCACTACTAGTACTACTAGCTGCATTCATTCATTCATTCATTCAGCACACAGCCCGGCCGCCTCTTGCTCGAGGGCGGCCCACTTTGGCCTGGGCAGCCCGGGCCGCCCTCCCCCCCGGGCGCATGTTCGGTGTTGGAGGGGTGTGCCCAGCGATAGGGGGCCCCTGAAGGCATGCGCCGAGGCCGGGAAGCGTGGTTCGGCGCTGCTGCACGCTTGGCGATTTGACCAGAACCACGTGCCGCCGAGCTGCGGCCGCAGTTTCCGGCCCACGGTCTACGGTCGCAGCCGCAGCTCGGCGGCACGTGGTTCTGTTCAAATCGCCAAGCGTGCAGCAGCGCCGAACCACGCTTCCCGGCCTCGGCGCATGCCTTCAGGGGCCCCCTATCGCTGGGCACACCCCTCCAACACCGAACATGCGCCCGGGGGGGAGGGCGGCCCGGGCTGCCCAGGCCAAAGTGGGCCGCCCTCGAGCAAGAGGCGGCCGGTCTGCAGTGTAAACTGGCGAGCACAAATTGCACGGCGGCGGGGCCGCGGGACCCGCGCTGCGCCCACTGCGATGGCACCCGCTGCCTGCGATGCCAGGAGACGTTCGCCCTGAATGCCACGGGCAGCGTGAGTGGGAACGAACGAGGGGCCTGGCTGCAGGGAAGCCGCCGCCAGCCGCCTGCCTTGCCGTGGTGGTCGATGGGGGTGTGGTCGCAGCAGCCGGCGTGTGCGTGCTGCCATCCGGGCCCGCTGGCCCTTCCTCTTCTTTTTGCGCAGTGCGTCAACGGCACCAGCGTCCTGCGTCTCTGCAAGACATACTCTGGCAACAGCCGCTGCGGGGAGTGCAACATAGGCGAGTGCCAGGCCAGGCCAGGCAGCATGGGGCGTGATTGATCTGTGCTGAGGGGCTGGGTGGTGCGCCCCGCATGCGCTCAGCACTCCCCACCCGCCGCGTGCCGCCGGCCAGCAGATGGCTCGTGCAAGCGCTGCGCCAACGCCTCGCACATCCTGGTGCCGCACGCCGCCCTCTACGTGGATGCCACCTACCCTGACAGCGAGGTGGGCCCGCGCTGCCGCCAGCAACGCGCATGCCTGGAGGTTGCTCACAAGCAGGAGCATGCCTGCCTGGGGGATGCTCAGCCATGGGGTTCGGCGCTGCCACCAGGCCACAGCCTGGGCGTGTTTCGCTGCCGGCTGCAAGCGCCGCCGCCCTGCTGCTTGCCTGTGCTGCAGTGCATGTCAGTGAAGGAGGTGCACAGTAATGCCTTGGAGCTTGTCCGCTCGCCCGCCCACCTGCCGGCGGGCTGCCGCGAGGTGGATGCAGGTAGGGGCTCGCTTGCCGCCGCCGGCCGCCGCGGCTGCCTGCTGAGCTGGGTGGCGGCCTGTGGGAGGCGGAGTGCGTCCCTCTGTGGTGCCGCAAGAAGGGCTAGCTCCAAGCAGGCTCCCTGGAGAGAGCAGGCTGGCTTGGTGGCTGGATGTGGCGACGGTGAACATAGCCGGCTGGCTGCCAGGCTGAACACTCCTGCCGCGTTCTGCTGCTGTAGATTTCCTCTGCTCCTCCTGTAAGTCGGGGTTTGGGCCTGCGCCGATCCCCGACTCCTCGGTGCGCCTCACCGGCGCTGCACGCTGGCGCATGTGCCCGCCGGGTTGATCCACGGGAGCCGCCTGCAGGGAATCCAGGGCCGTGCTGGGCCGGCGCGCATGCAGCCCGCCATGCATCCACACGGGTGCTGAGCGGGGATGCGCCCTCATGTTCCTGCAGATCATCAGCTGCGTGCCGGTGGTGAAGGGCAAGTTCCCCAGCGGCTGCGTGACTGGCCTGCCCTTCCAGCGGTACTGCGTCAAGGTACAGTACCCTTGCAGTACCCCAATCCGCCTGCGCTGCTGCACCTGCTCTGGTCCGCATGTGCTGGCCAGGGCCTGCCGCTACGCCTGCCACGAATCGTGCCTCAGGCTTGGTGCGCCTGCGCCGTGTGCTGCAGTGCGCAAGGGATGGCAGGACGTGCTTGCGATGTGCGGGCAGCCGCTCAGTGGATGCAGCAGGGCGCTGCAGCTTGGACTGCATGAGGTGAGGCGGCCTGCAGCCCCGGCGAGCTGCGCTCCAGACGTGCCACCGTCCATGCTCTCTAGCCTGCACCTCCGTGTGTTGCTTTCGAGGAGGGAGCCTGCGTCTGCTGACCTCGTTGTGTGGCTCCCCTGCCGGCGCAGCTTCTTCGGCATTGCCTGTACTGCTTGCACCGCCAAGCAATGCACGCGGATCCGTGCCTACTCCATGATTCGGCGGTAGCTACCTATAGGTGGAGCCAAGCAGCACCAGCAGCCACCGGCGCTGGCCCCTTTTTGTGTGGGAGCAACGGCAAACTACGTGGCAGAGCAGGCGCACTGGACACACGCGTTCGCTCTGCTGCCATCCATCCATCCATCATCTTGCCTGAAGGCAATTTCAGATCTCTGCGTGCCACCCGCCATCACAGTTTTCCTAGAAACCCTCTGTACACATCATTGTTTCCCTGTCCTGCCAAATTCTTTCCAGCACTGCCTTTCCCTTTTTCCACAGCCAGCACGCGCTCACAGCAGCGGCGGCTCCCATGTCATTCATTGCGGTATCAACAGATTGTGTGAGCCCCTTTCAACCGAGTTGCACGTGTGCAGGAGGGCAGACAGGCGATGATACAAGCAGCGTCGTCATGCTCTGGTCATGTGCAGCTCTGTCATAGTATTTGAGAACGTGTATGTCCGTCAGGCACAGGGCGCCACAGATGCGGCCCGCCCCAGGCCGTCGCCAGCCAGCAGGCCGGCACCATACCGCTGCGCTGTGGTCCTCGGGGGAGTATCCCAGCGGTGGCCCCGCTGCTGCTGGATCCCCTGCAGCCGACCCGCTCCACGCCTGCGCCCCAGCAGCAGCCGCTGGGAGCGCTGCCCCAGGCCACTGAGCCCCTCCATCACATCACGTTGGATGCGGCATACACAAACTGGGAGAAGTCCAGCGTGATGCGGCCGGTGCGCTGCGCGTCAAAGGCGTGGAAGGTGCGCCCCGCGCCCTGCGGCGGCGGCACGGGGTGGGGGTGCAGGCGGCGGCGGGCGAGCGGGGGTGAGCGGGCGGGCGGGTATGTGCGCCCATGGTTGGTCGGGCAGCGCAAACTAAGCAAGTGGTACTGTAATGGCGGGCGTCCCCCACCTGCAACTCGCCCACTAACACCACGCCCCCTACACACACACACACACACACCACCACCAACCCTGCCACACACCTGCCCTCCCACCCACCCACACCCACCCACCCACCTGCAGGAACACCGACATGGCCATGAACTCTGCCAGGCACAGGTTGTTGGTCCTGCAGGGGTGATAAGGACCACTCTGTTGGCGGGCACACACAGCGCGAGCGTAGCGGTCCTGCCGAGGGGCCATGGTGGGGCGCCGGGCAAGCAGAGGGAGGAGGCGGCCGCCGAGGAAGGGCATGGCGGGCGAGGGAGAGCGGCGGGGAGCGGGCGGGGTACCGCGGCCCCTCAGCGCTGCAACCTGCCCAGCCCATGCAGCGCCCGCTGCGCGGTGCCACGCTTGCCGTGCCGGTCGTGCATGCCGCACACATGCCGCACACATGCCGCACACATGCCGCACACATGCCACACACATGCCGGCAGGCCCTGGATCCCCGGTCCTCGCTCACCTGTCGGGGTCGAAGCTGCAGGCGGGCAGGAGCCAGGGGAGGCCGGGGAGGGCGGGTCAGCCGGCGGCTTGCCGCACCACATCACACACACTCCCAGGCACCCCCAGTGCACCTGCCGGCCCATCCCCAGGGGTCACCCCTGCCGCGCATCCGGCCGGCTGGGAAGCACACACTGCACGCCCACCTGCGGAAGAGCGCCTCAAAGGCGGGGGGGTCCAGCCGGTATCCCGCATGCGCCACAGCCTTCTGCGCCTCCCCCTTGTCTAGCGTGCCTGCACCTGCCCGCAGCGGGGGGCGCGGGCGCGTGGGCGGCCAGCGCGGGGCAGCAGCCGCGCCAGCCACCAAGCAACCCCAGGCCATGCAGCCGCGGGCAGAGTGCAAGAGCGGCCAACAGACACAGCGGCCAATGACCACCACAGTGGCCAACGACCGCCCAGGTGCATACATGCATGCAGGATGCAGGATGCCCGCCCAGCAGCCCGCAACAGCTCACCGCCGCGGTCTGTGTCGAACGTTTTGAACGAGTTGCTGATCGTGCTCAGCCACACATGCAGCTTCTCAAACTCCTGCAGCCACGCCAGCGCTCGGCGGGTTGACCACAACAGCTGGGCGCAGGGCGGCCACGCAGCCCCGCAGTGGTGCATTCTGCTCTGTCGGGCGGAGCCGAGCTGGCGGCATGCAGCGCCAGTATGTGCTGGCCATGCCGCAGCAGTGGGGGACCCAACGCACCGGCCGCCGCTGCACACACGGCGGCGGCAGGGGAGCCGGCTGCCGGGCCCGCCCCCCTACCTCGAAGTCTATTGTGCCTGAGCCGTCGCGGTCGTGCAGCCGCATGATGGCTTGCACCTGCAGCAGCCAGCACGCGGTGAAAGCATGCGGGGCAGCAGCTGGGAGCTTGGGCAGGCGCGCTGGCATGAAGGCGAGCAGGTGTCCTTCGAAGCGATGGGGCTTGCTTGCCACCCACCGTCTTCAGCGAGAAGTTCAATCCCTGCAGAGGAGGGGCAGGCACGCAGCGCCAAACCGCGGTTCGCAACACACATGAGAGGGGCGCAGGCAGGTGCCGGCAGGCGCGGGCAACATGCGGCAAGGCCAGTCGCGGCTGCTCTCACCCCCAGGGCAAGCGCCTTCTGGAGCTCCATCACGTCCAGGGTGCCTGCAGGGGTGATACACCAACATCGAACCAGTGGCAAGAGCAGCAAAACACGTCGAGCCTTGGCCATGCGGTGCAGACGGGCTGCATGCCTGCGGCCGCTCCCAGCAGCACCCTCACCACTGCGGTTGGTGTCTATCCGGCTGAACCACTGCAACGCAGGCGGCAGCACAATTGGCGGTTCAACAGATGGCAGCAGGGAGACAGGTGGCCATTGCGGCGAGGCAGCGGCCGGCAGGGCAGCGAGGTGGCGGGCGGCAGCAGCGGTGCCCAGTGGGCGCGCGGCGGTGCCCAGTGGGCAGCAGCGCGGCGGCACCCGGTGCTATCAATTTGCAGCGGGCAGGCGTGGCCCAGGGGAGGCCTGTTCTCCCCTTCGCTGCCGACGCGCCGGGACTTGCGCCCAAACAGCAGCGCCCCCCACACGCGCCTGCCATATTTGTTGCCTGTCAGACATGATGCTGCCCGCTCAATGCCAAGACCCGCCGCTCAGTGCCGACACTTCTGGACAGGTGGTCTGGGAGCTCCAAACGCGGTAGCGGGGGCGGGGAGAGGAGTGCCTGTGCTGGCGGTGCAAGGGAATGCAGCGGATGTGGCCAACCAAGGACTTGCCTCCAGCACCGCTGGCTGACGTGGAGGGCGGAGGGCGGAGCGCACAGCGGCATGCTCTCGCGCCTGATTCATTGCTATGTGGGAACGGCTGTTAAAAGAGGCAGCAATGAAATAGGGAAGAATCGTGGGATGATTGTGGGGCGAGAGAGAGGATGCGGAGGGCGGGAGCACACACACCGCACAGGCGGGATTCTGCGGGCTGCGGGCAGGCCACGGCGGCGGGCTCAGTGCCGGCGCTGGCTGGAATGGTGCAGGGGTCACAATAGATGAAGCAATCCAAACACGAGTTGCGGGTCGGCGAGCACACGGCAAGCAGGGAATGCACTTGGCCACGAAACAGGTTGGTCGGTCGGGGACAAAAACGGGGGCTGCGCTGCTGCGAGCGACGAGCGCAGCCGGCGGCCCACGGGAAAGGGACAGCACACACGGGCACGAGCGGCAAGCCAGAGGGCCACGACGGGACAGTCAGGGCAAAGACGGGACAGGGAGGGGCGCGCGCGCTGCGGGACGGTCCAAAACTCGCGGCGGCGGCGGTGAGGCCGGGTTCTTGTCAAAGGACTGAATAAGGGCGGCTGCAGAAACGCACGGCTCTTCAGGGCACTTGCGGCGGAGG